GGGTCCTCCTGGGTCTCCTGCCATAGCGTTTCATTTCATTTAAATGTCGACGGATAGTTCGCGCTGACACTGATGCTCCCTGAGCCTGCAGGACAGCTTGAATGTCTTTGGAACATGTTTGGGGCTGCTTATCCACCATCCGGACTATTCTGCGTTGCAATCTTTCATCAATTTTCCTCATCCGTCCACGACCAGGGAGATTAGCTACAGTGCCATGGGTTGCAAACTTCTTGATAATGTTGTTTTGTGGACAAAGGCAAATCTAGTTCTCTGGAGATGGACTTGTAACCTTGAGATTGTTGATATTTTGCCACAATTTTGGTTCTCAGGTCCTGACACATGCTTAGTGTGGCACAGACAGACACACAATGCAAAGGTTAAGTGAACGTCTCTCCTTTTTATCTGCTTTCAGGTGGATTTCTATATTGCCCACACCTGTTACTTGCCCCAGGTGAGTTTACAGGAGCATCACATGCTTGTAACATTCTTATTTATCCGCAGTTGTGAAAGGGTGCCAATACTTTTGTCCAGCCCATTTTTGGAGGTTTGTGTGACATTATGTCGAATTTGCTTTCTTTCCTCCCTTTTTTTGTTTTGTCCCAATACACACAAAGGGAATAAACATGTGTATAGCAAAACATGTGTTAATGCAATACGTTTCGTGAGAAATACATGATTTCCTGGAGAAATATCAAGGGTGCCAACAATTTCGGCCATGACTGTATGTATCACAAGGTTTTCATTTATGAGAGGTCTGTACCTGTAAGAAATAGCATTAGTCCATAACATACATGCATCATAATGAAGGAGAGCAATTGAGGGTTGTACACAGTCTAACCTGACAAGCAACTGGTAGGCAATGGAAATAATGGCCCAGTAAAGCAGTGGGAATGACGGCAGAGTTGTCATACAGCAGAATATTCAATGCCATACAAGCCATTTCCGAAGAAAATAATGAGTATATTAATAAAATACTTTATCTACAATAACTCCTGACTGACATGGCTGACAACAGCTCACGGACTCTCTCAATGGCATGCCTACATCTTCCTTTCAGGGTTTTTCCCATGAACCTTATACTGTAAGGTACCATGCATGGGCCATGCCTGACTCTTTCACTTCAAGCAGACCAACACAATTTTTTTCGTTTAAGCTTGGTGGATAGAGAACTTTCAAGGACAAAACTGGTAAAGTCCTGTAAAGTAAAATACATTTGATGCCCAAGGATAAATTGTTTATGGTTTCTGTTTTTCCAATAATTTGCAAGATGCTGGTGCATAACACTTCAAAAAAGCAAGAATCTCCTCACTGAAAGTTAGTTTGAATGCAAACTTAACAGTGATTTTGCAGTAACAATATGTGATATATAAAAATCTTTCTTTAATCATCCCTAACCAAACAAGAGTTCCTCTATAATATTTAAAAAGTTAGTACAGCTGTAAATATATTATAAAGATATTAGCAATATGCAAATAAGCCAAACCAGAAATACAAAATAATTTGCTATCTACGCCCTCTAGATATGGCAATTTTGACATTGCTACATTGGTCTAGCTTGGATCAGTATGTATGTGCCATACCTGTGGGACCCCTTTGGAGACTAGAAATCACTGTAGTAAGCATTTCAACTGATGCACTGTAAACATAGGAAGTCACTCACTTGGCAGGAGTGTCATGTAGGGAAAACGTGGCATTTTCTCAATGAATGCAAAGCATTCTTTATTGAATAAAGTGGAGAGGTGGGGTGGTTAAGTCACTTTCTCAATTTCATCTAAAGAATGATTTGCAATCAATGAAAAAAATGCAAAGTGTTCTATGGATGTAACCCATGTCAAGTGGATGACCTCCTGTCTTTATTATGCCGATGTGCAACTGCTCAGCACAGGACATAGAAACTGGCAGCAATTATTATTTATTACAGGTACTTATATAGTGCCATCAATTTACACAGTGCTTTACATATATATATATATATATATATATATATATATTTATACAGTGGGGATCGAAAGTTTGGGCACCCCAGCTAAAAATGTGTATTAATGTGCATAAAGAAGCCAAGGAAAGATGGAAAAATCTCCAAAAGGCATCAAATTACAGATTAGACATTCTTATAATATGTCAACAAAAGTTAGATTTTATTTCCATCATTTACACTTTCAAAATAACAGAAAACAAAAAAATGGCGTCTGCAAAAGTTCGGGCACCCTGCAGAGTTAATATCTTGTACTGCCCCCTTTGACAAGTATCACAGCTTGTAAACGCTTTTTGTAGCCAGCCAAGAGTCTTTCAATTCTTGTTTGAGGTATCTTTGCCCATTCTTCCTTACAAAAGTCTTCCAGTTCTTTGAGATCTCTGGGCTGTCTGTCACGCACTGCTCTTTTAAGGTCTATCCATAGATTTTCAATTATGTTGAGGTCAGGAGATTGTGAAGGCCATGGCAAAACCTACAGTTTATGCCTCTGGATTTCGAGGTGTGTTTAGGATCATTATCCATTTGTAGAAGCCATCCTCTCTTTAACTTCAGCTTTTTCACAGATGGCATCAAGTTACCATCCAAAATTTGCTGAAATTTTATTGAATCCATTTTTCCTTCTACTTGTGAGATGTTCCCTGTGCCACTGGCTGCAACACAACCCCAAAGCATGATTGATCCAACCCCATGCTTAACAGTTGGACAGAGGTTCTTTTCATTAAATTCTGTGCCCCTTCTTCTCCAAACGTACCTTTACTCATTCCAGTCAAAAAGTTCAATTTTAACCTCATCGGTCCACAGAACTTGTTTCCAAAATGCATCAGGCTTGTCTATATGTTCATTTGCAAAGTTCAAATGATGATTTTTGTGGTGAGGACGTAGAAGAGGTTTTCTTCTGATGACTCTTCCATGAAGACCATATTTGTACAAGTATCTCTTTATAGTGGAATAGTGTACCGCAACTCCAGTGTCTGCCAGATCTTTCTGGAGGGATCGTGCAGTCAAACGTGGGTTTTGAATTGTTTTTCTCACAATCCTGCGAGCTGTTCTGTCTGATATTTTTCTTGGTCTTCCAGATCTTGCTTTAACGTCCACTGTTCCTGATGACTGCCATTTCTTAATTACATTCCGAACAGAGAATATTGACATCTGAAAACGCTTTGCTATCTTCTTATAGCCTTCTCCAGCTTTGTGAGCATCAACTATTTTCAGTTTCAGTTTTCTAGACAACTGCTTAGAAGAACCCATGGTGCTGATTGTTGGGGCAAGGTCAGATGAGTCTGGGCATTTAAAACCTTTGAGATTGACATCACCTGGTCTTCCCAGACGATGATTGAGAACAATCCATGACACTGGCAGGTCTCAGCTTTGCAAAGGGGGCAGTGCATGCTATAAATTCTGCAGGGTGCCCAAACTTTTGCAGACGCCATTTTTTCTCTTTTCTGTTATTTTGAAAGTGTAAATGATGGAAATAAAATCTAACTTTTGTTGATATATTATAAGAATGTCTAATATGTAATTTGATGCCTTTTGGAGATTTTTCCATCTTTCCTTGGCTTCTTTATGCACATTAATACAAAATTTTTAGCTGGGGTGCCCAAACTTTCAATCCCCACTGTATATATATATATATATATATATATATATATATATATTGTACATTCACACCAGTCCCTAACCCTCAAGGGGCGTACAATCTAAAGCCCCTGAATCACATTCATACATACACATACTAGGGCCAATTTAGACAGTATCCAATTAACCTACCAGCATGTCTTTGGAGTGTGGGAGGAAACCGGTGTACTCAGAGGAAACCCACGCAGGTACAGGGAGAACAAACAAACTTTAGGCAGGTGGTGCCGTGGTTGGGATTCGAACCAGCAACCCTAGTACTGCCAGGTGGAAGTGCTAACTATTTAGCCACTGTGCTGCCCGATTACTGTAGTGGTACCTGCTACAGTGATTTCCAGTTTCTCAGCAGGACCAATGTACAAATTGCCATACTGGACTGAGCTTTAAGATCACCAAGAGTCATTTGGAGCTATACTGTGTCCTTGCCCAAGCCTACAACTGGAAACATTTTTTTCATGGGAAACATACTAAACAACAATGGTGTTAAGAGCTTGCCATGAAGGAAACACAAACACATTACCACATTGTCCAAGTTTGCTGTTGATCACCAAGATGTTCCACAGAAAGCCAGGACAATATAAATGAGCCAAGAGTTAAGCTGGCCTTACACAAAGTAAATTTTGTCAGATTCTAATAAATTGGCTGAAATTTGAGCCATGGGTGGTCCTGTCAGCATTCTCCCACTTAGCATCTTTTGATCTGAAAAAAAGGAGCCAAGCTGAAAATTGTCAGCTGAACAATGGCTGCATCCAAAAAGATGCAGGCTCTGTTCAAGTATTCTGATAGCCATAAGTGCTGGCTGTCAGTATACAATAGCGAGCATGAGAGATTTGTCCATTCATGATGTTTAATGTAAATGGAGGGATTTCTCTTGTTGAGCCCATGGGCCTCAACAAGAGAGATCTTGCAGTGTATGGATATCTTTGGCTTTTCAGATACAGAGAGTTTTGAATAATAACAATAAACAGCATACCAGCAGCAAAATCTCAAACTAACTGTGAAGCATGGTGAAGGGTGCTCATGTGAGGCTTCTTTGCTGCTTGTTTTCAATACATTCAAGATGAGTCTAAAACCATATTACGGTGTTTGTCTATGATCTAAAACTCAAAATAGGTTGGGGCATGCAACATGAAAAACAATTAAAACACAGGTGTGCCTCAAAGAGAAAAAAATTACATATTTCAGCATAACCAACGTCTTCCAAATATATGCATTCACAAATTCTTTCTGTGATTGACCTTGATTGCTTAAAGTGATACTAAACCTAGTAACCTGCATTCACTATATTTGGTCTCCCACAGTACACACAACATGGAAATGCAATTATTTTAGTAAATATAAACTGCTGAATACCTTTTTGTCATCAGCAGTTAGAGCAGTCTTGTGACTGCAGCAGAGCTCTGGTTAAAGCTTGTAGGAGGAGTTTTCTTTCTGCTTTAGGAGGATGTGAAAGTCCGGACCCTCTGTCTGGACAGTGTTGATTGGCCCTGTGCTGATCACATGCACTCTTCCAAGAAAAAAAAAATAAAACCTCTCTAGCAATACACACCAAACTGAGCATGTGTATGTGACTACAGATTCAGTCTGTATCAGGTGGTCATTTCAACTAGAGTAGGGGCAGAGAAGAAAGGATCAAACAGCCTTTTTACACGATGCAGAGGATTAACCCTTTCGGTTCCACAGTAGTATAACAAGCATGCTTTACTGCATATACAGACTGATTTTACTGTTGAGGGTTTAGTAACACTTTAATCCATCTGTTCAATAAAAAATATGATAATGTAAAATTTGGTTGTGTTGTTAAAAAATAAATCTCTCTTATTATGACTCGGATAAGCATCAAATTACATTTTAGGAGACATTCTTTCAGAAATCAGGAATATTAGGAGCTCATGTTCCTTTTCTTCCAATTGTACTGTACTTACATATCAGAAAGGAACATTTCTTTTTGGTAACATTGCATAGACTGGCAAATAACGACACATTCAAATGACACATGCATTGTGACACATGCACTGCTTTATCTTTCTTACATGCCATTGGACTAGGTGTTACCATATGAAAACAATCATATACAGCAAATGCAGGCAATAAATGTATGTTATCTGGATAGAACAGGCCCTGCTCTGCAAGGATATTTTTAAAGCAGTATAAGAATATTTAAGACCCTAGTATATGAGGAACAGCTCTCCTAGGCATAATTTCAGTGCTGGTTGCAGCAGGGAGTGTGTGCTGTGAGGAAAGTATTATTTTTCTAAATGGAAGGTGTCAGACGGTCACGGCAATGTGACTGCGTGTTCAAGATCACTGCCTCCCATCTGCAATTTGTGACGTGTGAAAGATTCTGCCCAAATGTGCTCACCAACTGGAAATCCTCAGCAGTTTTCTCTTATCAGGAGAGACCAAGATAACCAATGGTTTACAGATCACGGATCCTATCAAATTAATATCATTCTGGGATAGAATCTGCTTTACATACTCCTATCTAACTCCTGCTAAAATGACTATAGCATGCAAGTTCATTTATCAGATTAAGAGGAATGCTATCTATCAGAACACAAAGACAGAGCCAGATGCACAAAGAGACACACAGACACACACTTTGCAGGGGATTGTGAGAATTAAGGGAAATAAACATCCTTTTCACTGTATTTTTTAATTTTAAGAAGAGAATTGGATGGTATAGAAAGACAATTGAAGAGACTGTCTACTATGAGCTACTACAGATGATCTACGTTGTTGTTCTAAGCTGTGCCGTCATACATGCAGGTCTCTGCAATGGTCGATACAAAAATTCACTGCATCTTTTGCAATCCTTATGGAAGTATCTACTTTCATGCACAGATAGCTACTGAGTAGAAATAGAGAAGTAATTGAGTATGCAATTGATATATTAAAGTGTTATTTCCAACGTTAAGGGCTCATACACAAGTGCTGTGCTAAACAGCATTCAGCCTCCTTATTTGGCCCCCACACCAACCTACCGTCAACTGCTCTATCCTAGGAGTAACAATCTGTGACCACAGGAGCAGCGGCTTCAGCCACTATGCATGCCCTGAAAAGGGATCAGAACTACCTCATGTAAGAAATGTTGATTCTCGCTTCGTCACTAGGCCAACCATCTAGCGTTCTGGGAAGTTGCTTGACACACATATTTATTCTCTTAGAGATTTGAGCAAACATACTCAAAATCATTTGACTTACCACAAATTCAGATCCTTCTATTCCTATGTTAGGGAGTACTAGACCCGGAATTCCCATATGTTGTAGTAATAAAAAAATACCATTTGGATTTAATTGCGAGTTTATCTTACCAATCTACACAAATTAGTACTTGGCGTTAAAATGGAAAGAAAATCCACAGTTTTTCAAATTATTTAAAAACAAAAGTCTTACATGCATTAGTTTTTTATCCCAGAAACAACTGTATTAAAAGTCTCAGAGTTGAAAAATGATAGATGTGCTTGTAGAAGACTCTTGAGCTTGTTGGAGAACATATATGAACAAACATCATCATGAAGACTATCTAAACCAATCCAGAACAGAATTCTGGAAAAGTGCCAACCAAAGTTGGGTTAAATAAATATCCCAAACTTTGAACAACCCATGTGGGATCTTTAAATCATTCATGTAAAAATAGAATGAACATGGCACAACTGTGACTCTGTCTAGGCATGGCTGTCCAGGTAATAAGGGCATTATTCAATTAATCAAACAAGGTGCAATGTATTATGATCCAGACCCAGAAGCTTCTCTGTGTCTGGTGGCAGTTTATCCCACTGAATCACCTGAAATTCTGCATATTTCCTTGCCTGATCACTGTTTCAGTCTTTATAGTACCTGGTGTACTATTAAACTCTGTTGCTACATCCCTGGACCTCCAATATAAAGTATGTCTATGCGCTCACATGGGAGAACGTAAGTAAAATTCAATAGCTATATTGTATTACAAGTTTGAAGTATCTGTTCAGAAGATGCCCCAGAGATATGGTTTGAATAGTTGCTGTTTGTATTTATTTTTTATGTTTTATTTACTTTGTACCCAGACGTGTATAAATGACTGTGGGTTGCGGGAGAAAGAGAGAGGGTGGGTGAGAGAGAGAAAGGGGTATGAGGAAAAAAAGAAGGCGGTATGAGAGGGGGGGATTAGAGAAAAGAGGCTGAGAGAGAGAAGGGGGTGAGAGAGAAGAGGGCAAGAGAGACAGAAGGGTGAGAGAGAGAGAGGGGGGAGAAGGGGGGGGGGGTGAGAGAGGTGGGGGTGAGTGAGAAAGGGGGCTCAGAGAGAGAAGGGGATGAGAGAGGGGTGGGGGAGAGAGAGGGGAAGGGGGTGAGAGAGGGGGGTGAGAGAGTGGTGAGATAGAGGGGGGTGAGAGAGTAAGGGGAGAGAAGGTGTGAGAAAGAGAGTGAAAGACAGAGGGGTGAGGGGGGATGGGAGTGAGAAAGAAGGGGGAGAGGAGTGGGGGGAGTGAGGGGGTGAAAGAAAGAGAGAGAGGGGGATGAGAGTGAGAAGGGGGTAATTGAGAGGAGGTGAGAGAAGTGTGAGAGAGGGGGGAGATGGGGGGTAAGAGAGAGGGGGGGTGAGAGAAGGGGGTGAGAGAAGTGTGAGAGAGAGGGCAGGGAAAAGGGGGGTGAGAGAGAGAAGGGGGGTGAGAGAAAGGTGAGAAAGAGGAAGGGGTGAGAGAGAGGGGAAGTGGGTGAGAGAGGGGGAGGATGTGGGAGAGAGAGACCCCTAGCCCTGTCTGCTGTTCCTCCTGTGCCTCCCTGTCCCAGTCCCTATCTGTGGGTAGGTGTGTGTGATGCCTGGTACCTGGCATGCCAGCAGCAGGCAGGGTCCATTCTCATTCTGGACAGCTCCTTTCTCTGCTCTGTGGTCCCTGGCTATCTGCGCTCTTGCCTCTTCTTGTAATCCGTCTAGTGGCCATTGTTGTTGTTGTCAGGACCACGAACTGGGAGGCGTCCATGCACTGGAAGATGCCGCCGCTGGGGATGCTGCACCCACTGATGCTCTCCTTTCCAGAGGTCAAGGAGGTCTCTTCTTTCCCAGGCTCTTAATCCTAGCCACATTCGATGCTCACCTTCCCCCTGCTCCCGCCGCCACCAGGACCGGGACCCTCCAAGACAAGGAGCTCTAGGGGCAGATGCTTTGGGCCCCACAATAATGACTGGGCCCAGGGCAGCTGCCCCTTTTGCCCCGTGTTAACAGCCCTGCTTATACCAATATTTCACTTGATGTTGCTTAGCTGATACACTGACAATCTTATATACTGATGCTTATGTACTGACTTTTGGCTTTTGCTCCCTACGTCGTATCATTAGCTCATGTTGGCTTACTACCCCTTACTTCTGCACCCACCTATGTACTGAACTCTACCTGCTCTTAACATTAAACTGGATTCTAAACCTGATCCAAGATCATGACATATTAGCAACTTGGGAGACACAGAAAAAAGTTGATTTGGTTTGATGAAATCAATACAGAAACTGTTGGTTTTAACTCAACATGCTATGTGTAATGGAAAGCCAATATTGTTCACCATTACCCTGAGAACATCATGCAGGGAAGAAACATGCAGGTGGTGGAGCATCTTGTTATGGGGGTTCTTTTGGTTACCAAGAAACGTTTGAGAAGTAAGGGCGAGATAAAAGGCATTTCTAGGTTCACAAGTGAGAGGTTCAGCTTCCAGCAAGACAGGTTGCTCCCTGAATTACCAAATCAAAGCCAAGAACTTCATTCCAAACCAGAATCTGTGGCAAGTGTGTTTAACAGCAGTTCCAATCCAGACTGATAGAGATTTAAAGTGTTGCTAAACCCACAACAGTAAAATCAGTCTGTATATGCAGTAAAGCATGCTTGTTATACTCACTGAGGAACCTAAAGGCTTAATCCACTGCATTGTGTAAAAAGGCTGTTTAATCCTGTCTTCTCTGATCCTCCTTTTCCTTTACTGTCCCCAATCCATTTGCCTATATACAGAGCAAAGTGATAAGTCTGCATATGCTCTGTTTGGTGTGTATTTCTAGAGAGGTTTTTTTGGGAGGGTGCATGTGATCAGCACAGGGCCAATCAACGCTGTCCAGACAGAGGGTCAGGGGGTCATGCAGCCTCAAAGGACAATCAGGGGAGAATGGAAACTTCTACTACAAGCTTTAACCAGTGCTCTACTGGACACTGATAGATGTCTTAAGACAGATATACAGTGGGGATCGAAAGTTTGGGCACCCCAGCTAAAAATTTGTATTAATGTGCATAAAGAAGCCAAGGAAAGATGGAAACATCTCCAAAAGGCATCAAATTACAGATTAGACATTCTTATAATATGTCAACAAAAGTTAGATTTTATTTCTATCATTTACACTTTCAAAATAACAGAAAACAAAAAAAGGCGTCTGCAAAAGTTTGGGCACCCTGCAGAATTTATAGCCCCCTTTGCCAAGCTGAGACCTGCCAGTGTCATGGATTGTTCTCAATCATCGTCTGGGAAGACCAGGTGATGTCAATCTCAAAGGTTTTAAATGCCCAGACTCATCTGACCTTGCCCCAACAATCAGCACCATGGGTTC